TGAAGAAGGTACACGGTTATTTGGATTAGTAACTGGGTGGTTATGTGTTTGGGTCTTTTGTCTGTTTCCCCATCCTTGGAGACTTATTTTATGGAGAATGTAAAGCCTTAATGATGCAGAACTGAAGATTCTAAGTAGTTTCAGCAGAAAGACCAGCCATGGAGTGCTGTTTCAGGACGCCCCACAAGGTGTGCTTGCTTCTGTGGTGAGAGCCCTGGGTCATCCCACAGCTGACAGCTTTCCCTTGTCCCAGCTCCTTGGCTCCAAAGCTCTGAAAACCCTGCTTGGATGTTGCATCATTTTAAGCTCATTTTGACCAACGCCAATGTGTAACCATCATTGACATTCCCCCATTTCCACCAGCTACACCATTCCAGGTGGCCAGGCTTAAAAGTCCTAGGGAGTTTATGTTTTACATTTCTTTTGAGCATCTTTCTTCCCTTTCCAGTTGGAGAATGGTACTCTCCATTCTAGTTGTTTTTGAAATTGTCTTGACTCTCTTCTTTATGGCCTCCTCCTAAGCCTGTTCTGAATTAATAGACGAACGGCAGGTCCAGGTTTTGTTGCATTACTCTGCTCCAGCACTTCCAGCGGATAACACACCGGTCTCCAAAGTCCTCGGCTCACATAGGAGTCTGTTCCTCCCTTGCTTGCCTAGTGAGTGTTTGGAGCCCAGTCTTGTTGCCTCACCGTGGAACACTTGCTCTGTAGTCTGTTCTTGCTCAAGAGTCTGACACCTCCATGAGTTCATCTTAAACTGTGAACTGATTCTGCTTATAGCAGGTTCTTTTTTCTTAAAGCACCTGATTGCCCCCTCACCCCCCAATATATTTATATTTCTAACTAGGTGGGCAGGCTCCGGAGGGGCAGCGACTGTTGGCCAGAGGTTCTTTGTACGCCTCTTTGGCTCCTACAACAGAACCAACAGGAACACTGTAAGCTGGGAGAGGAGGCGCAGCAGACCACGCGGCTTTCAGAGGCCTCCCGCCTACGGAAGAATCCTGCAGGTTCGTCACAGCAGCTTACCATTGTCTGGGGTCAGCCAGGCGAGGATTGGATCTATTTTGGGAACCACTGTCCTGTAGTCCACGTCAAGAGTAAGAGCAAACACAAGCTTGTGTTTTACCAGGTTGTGAAATCTGGATGCTGAGCAGCTTTGTGCCTGGGCCTGCTATAATAAAATAGGGAAGCCAGCCCAGCCAGGCATTTGGGCAGGAGGCTTCTAGGAAGCCTTGGAGTAGAGACAGTGCGAGAAGTTTCATCCAAAAACCAAGCTTGTGGCCGAGGAAACGTGAAGCAGCGACTTTAGAAACTGTCAAGTAGACCAGCCTCCGTGGCCCACAGATGCCCAGAGAACGGTGACAGTGAGTACTGGCATTGGCTGCTGTGCAGGAATGCCTTTCCCAACTGGTGGTCTCACCTCCAGGGGAAAAAGAAAAAAGTTGATTCTTGTGACCAGAGAGGACTTGGGTCAACGAGCAGAGTGCTGGGAAGCGTCTGTCTATAGACTGAGAGTTGGAGAGGGTAGAAACTGCAGGTGTCCCTACTCCAAGTAAGTAAACCAACTTGACGGAGACATACAACTAATGAGGGGCGCAGCTGGGATTTGAACCCAGGCAGGTCTTTCTGAACCCCACGCCTGGCATTTAAGCTATTCAGTGTTACCGAAGACATGATGAGGTGAGATGAGTTTCTAAGGGTTGCAATGGGAAGTGGTGGTCTGCTCTGTGAGGGTCTCAAAAAGCTACTGGATTGGGAAAACTTCCCTACCTTATCCATGATGGCCAGTCATCTGTGCTGCCAGCGTAACGGGGAGCACACCCACATGCAGCTTTCAGTGCTTGTGAGAGAGACATTCTTCCGGCTTCCCTTCTGACCGCATCTTGGTCTCCCAGCTGTTCTCTACTCTGGATGCACCAATGCTGGTGTTTAGATGCAGTCTGCCCACTCAGAGGAGCCTCTGAAGGACCCTCACCCCATTCTGGAACCAGTGTAGACCTTACCTGTTTGACATTTCAGATCCCTCTGTTTCACCGGGTTTCTGGAGAGCTGTGGCTGTATTCTCTGAGGACTGGTCTTTATGTTCTCTCGCACCTGTTAGTCAGGGATTCCCACCATTCTAAGCCAAGAGCTGTGACCACTACATAGGCATAGTATCTCAGTCTGGGGCCAACACACTTTGGCAGGTGTGGCAACAGGTTCTGATCATGTCCCTACCGTGCTGGTGGGAAATAACTCTTTTATGTGTTCTCGGGAGCAGAAAGCTGTATTTCAAAATACAGCCTGAGAGACCACTGTAGGAGAATAGGGATGGAAGCTTATGAGAGTTTTTGGCTGTTCATACTGAGAAGCCCACGTTGGCACTAAGCCTTTGTTTCCCAAGGAGATGCTGTTTTGTGTTTAATAGACTCAGTCAGTTAATTAAAAGCTTGTCCCAAAGTACTCACACTTGGAAAAAGCCCTGCTCTTCTTTTATAAACATACCCTTTAAAATAAGGAACAGTTTGTCTCTGGCAGCTCACCACCTTCTCTCCTTAGTTGCCTTAAGAGCTCACCTGCTGAGTTATCCCTTGCATTTCTGCCTTTTCTGCAAACTTGGGCCACCTAATGAACATAGCCCACAGTACACGGCCAGGCCCATAAAGTGTGTGACCTCTTGTCACACTTTATGTTCTCCAGCACCAGCATGAAGAAAAACCCTTTTTTCTACAGCCATGCAGAATCCGCTCTTTACAGGACCACCGCGGGTCTGGACCTCAGGCCAGTGGGCAGTCCCTGGATGCTGCCTCCAAAACGCAGCCTTGAAACCAAGGCAACTTGGTCACCAGTTCTCTCACGGGAAATCCAAGGAAGGGATGGAAATTAACAAGCTAGTTGTAAATTTCTGCTTTCTAAAAAACAAACAAAAAAAAAACACAGCTCACCGAAACCGTAATTTTGCCATTTAACAATTATCTGAAAGAGCAAACTCTCAAGAGCAGCAGGACAGAAAATCTTTAAGCTTTCCTAGTAGGAACAATAGTATGACTACCACAGCCTGATTTTGAATAGTTTATTAAAGGAAAGGTGAAGCATCAGTTTCAAATTGTACAAAAGGAAAAAAACCTCATATTGCAAATGTACAATTTACAGAATTACTAGCAAAACCAATCAAGGAGACACTGAAAATACAAAATTTCGATTGATTTTAAACTGAACTGGGAACCCATTGGAGTAGATAGTAAGCCTTTTTAGTTGCATGGCGGTCTGCCGCTCTTAAGTCGGCATCCGTTTCCCTCAAGATCACTCTGTGCGTGTGCAGGGGCACCTCCGCTTGCTTCCTGGCCACAACCACAGGCAGGGCAGGCGTGGCAGCCTGTCCAGTCATTCCTGCCCCTTTATTTCTGGGGAAGTCCACATCTCTGGAAGAAAGCAAGACCCCACCCCCCCTAACTGGAGCCCAGGATTTCTAAATTAGCAGGTAAGACAGTTTTGGCAACTGAGTTTTTACAGAACTACCCAAATATTGAGAAAAATTTGTTTTGCTTATTAAAAGGATGAAGAAAATCCATTTTGCTTTCCTGGACAAAAGATAATCATTGGGAGCACAGATTTTAAAAAATGCTTTTCGTTTTTTATAAAAAGGGCAAACCTCATGATTCTGTTGCAGCTACTTTAAAAACAAGCTCAGAAACAGTTATGGATGGACTGGTTTGGAAATTGAGGTTTACTTTAAAAATCAGAAAGGAAGCAACTAAGTGGGCTTTTAAAAACAATAGCAGCAAGTCATAAAAGATCTAAGCAGTCTGTAACTCTAAACCATTGAAGGCTGTCCTGAAGATTCATAATTTCTTTCCCAAAAGAATTATTTCTCAATATGCACATTTAACACTGAAATGTAGCTGTATTTCAAGGTAAGCTTAGGAACTTCACCCTCTAAGCACAGACTTCTATGCAGCACATACTTCTATAATCAGTAAACTTAATTCACAAAATTAGCGCATAAAGGTATTAAGTGCATGGGAAGTAGACACAGTTATGTTACACTTAAAATGACTTCTGCATGGCAAAGGAGTCTTTGTGATTATCTTTTTAAGAAAATGGAAGTCCATGTAACTTCAATTTGGCAGGGCATGAAATAAGTGGTAAAAACAGCAAACTGATAACTTGAGAACCATTTTTGTTTTACTGAGAATACTTTATTTGCTGGTAGAAGTTGCTAAAAATGCACAGAACAAATACCAATAGAAAATGTACTGTATTTGAATTTCCCTATTCTATATAAAATGAATGGTGTACAGCATCTGTTGGAAAAATGGCTGCATGGACATTTCTTATTTTATGCCCGTTATAAATAAAAATAAACCTTTTTATTCAAGAGTATATAAAATCTGGGAATCCATATCCATAGAGGGCGTGTGGTTTTTGGCAGAGATGCACTGTCAGATCATCTTAGCTTGTCAATATTCTGCTCCTCCATATTTCTGTATTCCACAAGGTCAACCAAATCCAGTGAGCTCCAAAACACTCTTCGGCAATTAAAATGAGCTGCTTACTCATAGGTTTAATAAAAATGGTTAGCTTTTAAAACATAAAAAGGCAAAATGTTAAAACGGTTTTTAAATTGTACAACAGGAAAATAAAGTTAAAAATATTTTTTTTTTTACTCAATGCTGAGTTTTCATAAAACAGGTGTATAACAGTGTTTATCTTGACAGCTGTTTTAAAAATTTAAAATTTTTTCCTCCTTCCAGAAAAACGCGTCTATCTGTGTTGGGCAAGTCCAATGTCAGGGCACAAATGATTTCTCAGGCCAGTCTTTCAGGTGATGGTCACCACCGTTCCCTCGGGTAAGTCACATGCTCCTCTTCTGTCACTGCACAAGGGGATGGACCTCGATCGTTTGATTAGAAAACAAATCAGATCACCCAACAGTGTCTATTCCCCATACAAGCTATCACAGTATAGAGGCCTCCAGCTCTGAGTAACAGAGTTCCGTATCTGTGAATTCTCTTCAGGCTTCAGAACATAGGCATTCCAAATCCCTAGAAAATGAAAAGCACAATTATTAACTTCACGCAAAAAACAAGGCCCAGAAACTAAGTAAAAAGGAGTAAGAATTTAACATTTACTGAATCGTCTTCTATGATAGCTGCAGAATCAAAGAAATCTGGCCTCAGCTCTGCTCGCTCTCGCCGATTTCTTGATGGGGGCTGGAAAGAGAAGCCACATTATTTCATTTTATTCCTGAGATTAATACAATGCACGGTGATAATAAGCAGCTAGTATTTCTGATGGTTCCATAAATGTACAGTACTGTTAAGGATCATTTTTTGGGGAAAATAACTGGTTTTTAATTATCCTTTATACAAGAAAAAAGACTTTCAAATTATGAATCAATTGAATATGTAAATGCCTATAAATTCGTGGGCCTATAAACAAAGAACATTCCTTTTGATCATAACATAACTATAAAATTGATCAAACGCCAGGTGACAAAACTGCACTACATTCCCCAAGGCAGGGCTTGTGGAAGGGTGGAGTGACGTGAACTCATGGAAAAAATACAGAAAGCAGAATGTTACGGCTAAATCATGTCTCCCAATTCATACGGTGAAGTCCTAACCCTCAGAATGTGACTTATTTGGAGATAGGGCTTTAGAGAGTTAGGGTATAGGAGGTCATGGGTTCTAATCCATTATGATTTGTGTCCTTAGAAGAAAGAAAAGACAAAGGAAGATGGCTATCCACAAGTAATACAGAGAGCTCTCAGAATGAAATCAACCCTTCACCTCAGGTTTCTAGCCTCCAGAACAGTGAGAAAACAGATTTCTGCTGTTTAAGCCACCACTCAGTGGTATTTATGGCAACTCTAGTGGATTAATACCGAGAAAATGGATGAATTTCCATATTCCCGTCACCCAACTTAAAACTCGTTTCATTGAGTCATTTCACCTATAATTACCTTCAATATGTATCTCCAATGGATGGAAATTTAAAAAATCATAACCACCAAGTAGTATGATTCCTGACAAAGTTAATGTCTTAATATACCTAGCCCATATTCTGCATAATTAGGTTATGTTGGAGTGCAGTGTATATTGTCAGTATCCGATTTAAAGTAAAAGAGGCCAGCCTGGCTGGTGTGGCTCAGTAGTTGAGCATCAGCCCATGAACCAAGAGGTCATGGGTTTGATTTTGGTCAAAGCTCGATCCCCAAGAGGGGGCAGGCAGGAGGCAGCCAAACGATGACGTGTCTGTCTCTTTCCCTTCCTCTAACCAACACCTGCACATGTTTTAACAAAAGAAAATGTATTGCATTTCCTTACCAGATCAATAACCATGGTGTCTTCAAATTCTTCATTCATATCTTCTAATTGGCTCCGGGAAGACATCATCACATCTTCAAAGATGGGCTCAGCATCTTCCTCCATTAAGCCCCGACTGATGAGGAAAAGCCCAGTCAGAAAGCTGTTCTGAATCACTGAATTTGGAGTGAGTCCTGGCTCTTTCTTACATTAGGTCTTCTAACCAATGAAAGCACACTTTCCAATTACTACCTAGTGACTGCACAAATCATGATATTGAACTCTAATTAAAGATCATTCCATTCACTCAAAATTTCATCTCAATTCATTAGAAAGAAGTACAATTTAAATGCAATAACAGTAATAGTAGTTAACACCTATGCAGCTATGTATCCATTCCCATAAAACTTTAAGTAGTTGGTACTCCTATTACCCCAAATTTATAAATAAGGGCCCTGAGCACAGAGGTTTTAGAGCTTGCCCAGAGCCACATAGCTGGCAAGTAGCAGCATAGGACTGAAACAATGGTCAGTTCAAGGGCCAAAGGCCTCCATTCCTGTCCTATGCTGCACAGCAGATCTGAATTATGATTTTAACTCCTAAGACCAAACATCAGAGATTCCGAGTCATTCCGCAAAATGACCAGCATCACAGAGTCATGTTCTTGTGATGCTGGATATGTCACTTACACAGCATGCCTCACTCCAGCTCTCACTTTCATGTAGTTCATTCCTGTTCTGTCCTTCCGATTTAAGTCTTCTAATTTTGGCTGTCCCAACCAAGAGATCTGCATCTGAGGACTAAGAAACAGCACTATTATTCATTTTGTGGCAGCAAATAACAGAATTAGCTAATGAGTCCGATGTTAGAAGGCTACAGTTGGCTGGCCTAATCCCCATGTAGGGGGAGTTAGCTGTATTTATGCCAGGGCTGAATAGAGAAAAACGTTTTCCTCCCCTACAGGTGCTTATTTTATCAGCTTCTTTCCCCAAACCCCTGCCAAATGAGTGCTGCTTAGATCCCTGTATCAGCTGCTGTCGTACTCACAAGAGTTCCTAGCTGGGCAGCCAATCTCCTAAGGGACAGAAATGATGCTGTCCTGGTAGCTCAGAACCCTCCAGAGTTGAAAAGGGAATAGTTTTTTCTGTCCTTCTGAGGAGATGTGGAGTTAGATGCATACTGGGCAAATTCTGCACCTGTACGCAATACTTGTATTGGCACATGAACACTTGCAATAAACATGCCTCTTGGGACTTTTATGGGATATAAACCTCAATGATTTTTAGTAGATAAAATCTGTCCCATGAAGTTCTTTCTAGGCAGCTTTCTTTACATAATTGGGTGGGGCACCACTTCGATAAAAGCTGTAAACCTATAGCAGGGGAAGGCAGGCAGACCCTCCTTTCAGCTTTAAAGGAATCCCCAGAGGAAAGGTGTCTTATGAAAACCCGATCTGGGTTCTCTAACACTGCCTCTTCCCATTTCCAACCAGCTACAGTTCTTGAGTTCGAGTGAGAATTCTCTTTTATCCATCAGAGTAAGTCACCCCAAGATAAAAAGAAACACAAGCCAAAACCGGTTTGGCTCAATGGATAGAGCGTCGGCTTGGCGACTGAAAGGTCCCGGGTTCGATTCCGGTCAAGGGCATGTACCTTGGTTGCGGGCATATCCCCAGTAGGGGGTGTGCAAGAGGCAGCTGATTGATGACTCTCTCTCATCGATGTTTCTAACTCTCTATCTCTCTCCCTTCCTCTCTGTACAAAATCAATAAAATATATTTAAAAAAAAAAAAAAAAAAAAAAGAAACACAAATGAAGAGCTAAGAGAATTTCAAAGTTGGATGGAGAACAACAGAAAGTTACTTTTTTTTTTTAATAGCAAAAGTCATGCAATCACATTTTTCAGAGCCCTGGTGCTAGAAAACATTTTAATTGCTACTATGGAAAAAGATAAGATCTTTATTATTTTCTCTTAGCAAAAGGGCAACTAATTCTACCACTTCTCCAAATTTATCAAATATCTTAATTTTTAGTTCTCAAACTGTTAAATATAAGCTTAAATAAGGTAAGTACTATTAATTAAATGGATGATAAAAGTAGTATAGTCTATTTATTTGGTGTTCAGACTAGTATTAGCTCTTTTGCCAAGGAAGTAACCTGCATGTCTTCCAGGCAAGACCCTCGGAAGAAACAGACCTGCCCGATGAATGTGCAAACTCTAAGTGAAAGCAGCTTTTAGTGAGACATCCCGCATTTAAAAGTCTCCGGACTTTGAGTAACTTATTATTTTATGTAAATTATTGAACCTTTATCTGTGATTTTGCTTTCTCAGAAACTGACCTGTGAATGGCCTGATGAACGAAAAGACTTTCACAGTCACAGGATTTAAGTCACTACTCACTTGTGTAAGAAGTCAGGCTCAGAGCCGTGCTCAGACGCGGGCTCCTGGGCCTGCTCTCCCACGGGCCGGCTGCTCTCCCGCAGGACAGTGGAGGTGAGCTGTGGTGCTGGCAGGGGTCCGGGAGTCTGAATCATGGTGTCAGTCCTGTTTAGCCATGTGTTATCCATGCTCTCATCTGCAAAATTCCAGTTAATGTCCTGGGTGAAGTGAACTCTGGGAGAATTAACAGACTTGAACATGGCTCTGGAGGTAGTTTGCTTAGTTTGAATCCCAGTTGTACTACTCGCTGTGTGACTTTGTATAAGTTGTTAAATTTTCACAAATTCAAGTTTCTCATATACAAAATGGGGGTGCTTGGTGAAGACTTACTGAAAGAGTAAGTTCAGAAAGAACCCACTCTTCTCGAAGAGATCCTCCTAACCCCTGAATATATTGCACTGGACCCAAGCAAGCAAAACTGCTTCCTGAGGGCATCTGGCATGTAACATTAGTCACCTGGTAAGTTTCAAATTGACAAAGCAAGTTTTCTTTTTTGCAATTTAACAATTACCAAATTAAAGTTATCTGGTCTATATATATATGCTTCTCTTAGTCCTAAAGATAATCATACTGACAGCTCCATTATTTAAATTCTCTATGCCTTAGTTTCTTCTGTGTAAAATCTGGATAATATCATTGAACTCAAAGTTGATTTATTAAAAAAAAAATTATACAGTATTTATTAAGTGCCAAGGACTTACTTCAGTGCTTTATAAATATCAGTCAAATGAATGATTAATTGATATAATCCACATAAAACACATTCCTGGTACATAGCAAGGATTAGATGTATGTTGGCTAATATGAAATTACATCTATTAAAAAGCTATGAATAGGGAAATATTTTATATCTGCATTTATCTACCTACCTATCTGGATATTTAAAAAAAAAATTTTTTTTTAAATGCCTGGAATAAAGTTCAGGATCCTACAGTATAAAGCAGAGTTTTGTATTTTCACTCACTGAACCCCAAAGATTTTAAGTCCCACAGCTTAACCTTGAAAGGAAATCTTAACTTTTAATTCTCTTAAAAATATACAGCCAGCTTAGTTTACTAACTGATGCTAGATAAGAGGCCTTACTATATGGTGATGGCATTCTGACAACATTTACTAAAGACGCATGTGTTAAGCACTGAGCTAAATACATATGTGTACTGTGTTTTATTTGGAGTACTTCATTTCATATTCCCAATAGCTAACAGGATAGGTACTCTGATCATCCTCCATATGATTGGGATTTAGACAGGTTAAGTAACATGCTGAAAAGTCACATAGCTAAAAAATGAGAAAGTCAGGTTTGAATTCTAGAACTCTGATTTTAGAGTTTGGACTTTTCATCAATAGTCACTACTGCTCCCCAATGATGGAAGTTTATTAAATTCTAATTTTGCCACAGATTTTAACAAAATCTTAGATGAGTCACTTTTTTAGGCAGCAGAGATGAAATGCTTAAAGATACATAGAAAGTTGTAAGAATATAGAATTCAGATCATGGTCCTCCTTTCTTGGTTTGGACAAAATTTCCTAGAATCTTTATTTGAGGAAATAAGCATTTTACTTTGAAATTTTTCTTAGTTATTTCTTTTTAGTCTTTTGGTTGTATAAATATCAACTATTACTCACATTTTCATCATAATTCAATGCCCCAATCACCAGTTCATGAGTTTTGTATAACTAGGTTTGGCCTGGCCAGCACTATTTTAATACACAAAGATAAAAGATCCAAGTGGCAGAAATGGAAAGCTGTTCTGATATATTTAATTTGCTGCAGAGGTCTACCCTCAACTTACCAGAATTTCTCATCTAGTATGAATTCTGACAGAATAATATTCTAACTATGTTATTTAAGTTTTATGTATTAGAGGACTATGGTTTGGGATAAATCTTTAAACTACCATAACTATGTCCTTTTTTCTCTGTGCCTACCTTCCTATGTATCCATTTTTTTCAACTTCTTTTGTCCCACTTTGAGAGATTCAGGCAGAAAGGTTGGAATAGACAGTGTGTATCAAATAAACAAGGAAATAATATACTTAACAATATCACATTGCTTCAACAGATGTATTTGCTACTTTATTTCTAAAACATCAGGAAAGTGATTTGCCTCATAGTTTAAAGGCAACTTACCTTCTACTCGTTTCTTATGAAGTGGGGGTCGTCCTTTCTTACTCCTCACGGAGGAGGTTTTGCTGCTGCTGCTTCCACTGTTCACAGACATCCTGTCATCTTCACCTCCAGTGACTAACGAGTTTCTATAGGAGATGAGTGGAAGCCACACATCTTCCCTCCTTTCCATCATCTGCTCCGTGAGGAATTTTTCTAGGTATGAATGACTATAAACACAATAGAAGAAGCAGTGATTTTCATTTTTTCATAACCCGAGGCACTCTCAGAAGCTCTGAAGAATCCCTAAGGACACACTTTTAATGGTGGTTACCTTTGGAAAGAGAGGGACTGAGAATTTAAGGTTTTGCTTCACATAATCCTGGAAACTTTAAACAAGTGAATGTATTACTAAGGTGGGTGTGTCTATGTCTGGTCATTCCCGTATTTCTTCCTTTGTTTTAAAATACCAATGTTCAAAAAAGTCCTGAGAAATTTGGCTCAAAAAGGTTACTTAATTTAATTTTTTTAATATATATTTCTTCCCTCTATGCCCTCTTCCACTTCCCTTACCCCCACAATCACCACACTGTTGCTCATGTCCATGAGTTCTATTTTTTGGGGGGGAAAAAACAACAAAAAAACCCCACTGAATTTTCTTTTAAATGTTCAAACCAAGGTAGGGGTACTGCAATGGTGGATTGAGGAGCTTTGCATACACACACTTTCCCCGGCAAAACTACCTTCTAAATTATAACCTTTTATCATTTCACTAGTTAAGTTCTTTAGAAATTGTCCTAAGGGCACACAGCAATGGAAGAAAATCTAAGTCACAGAACAGTGAGCGTTTGTAGCATTGGAACCACATCCTGCATCATTCCCTTGCCCTTCTCCTCCACCACAGCTCTGTGTTACTGCAGCTCTACTGTGCTCCCTTTCTCTCTGTTTAGAGCTGCTCTGGTCTAGACAGCAGCTAGGAGCAAGTGACCCCACCTCCACCCACAAATAGGCATCTCCATCCTATTCTGCCTAAGGGTGGAAGAGAAAAACAAAACCAAAAATCCTGAGAAACACACAAAGTTCATAGTCCAGAGGCCAAGCTCACTAAAAGGCTGAGAGCTAACCATAGGACTACAGAATGCTCCTCTTCCCCCACCATCTCATCACATTACTAAATACCTATGTACAGCAGCTCACTTTACCCAGTACATTATGTCCAGCTATCAAGAACAAATTACAAGCATACCCAAAGTTAGAGAAAACAATTGGAAGAAACAGCAAGATCAAAACCAGACTGGGCAAAAAAAGCTAAATATTCATGCTGGGAATAAACAACTAAGATTAATATGGTAAGCGCTCTAATGAAAAAAGAATAAGGAAACTCTGAGCAAAAGGAGAGACTATCTTGATATATCGATATAAAACCCTGATATGCAAATAGAGAACCACACAGCCAGTTGCTATGATGTGCACTGACCACCAGGGGGTGCGTGCAGAACGTGACGGGCATCAGCTGTTGCAGGATGGTGGAGCAGGTGAGCGAGGACGCCAGTCCAAGGCAGGGCACCGGTCCTGTCATTGGATTGAGCCTCAGATGGTTACTGAAAATTATTTGCTCCTGCCCAGTGCTTGCACCTGCTGTTGACACCAGCCCTGATTGCCTGAGGGCTTCTCCACCTCCACCTGCTCCCTAAGGGTGATCGGGACCTGCAGCACCTGCTTGCACCCACCGCCGGCACCGCTGCTCACACCTGTCTGGTTGCTCAGCGCCATCTGTGGGAACTAGACTGCTGGCAGACGGGCCGGGGGGGACAGGATGGGCCAAGACCCGCCCCTGTGCCCGCCACGGTCTTGCCGTCTACAGCTCCTTTCAAGGTGTATGAATTCATGTCCTGGGCCCCTAGCCTCAACAGAATCCTTTAAAGAGGGAAGAATGAAGATAACCACCCACTCCCCAAATATGCTAGGCTATAGTACAACTGTGAGACCTATAACATATGCATAATGGAATATCATAAGGGGAAGAGACAGGAACAGAAGAAATATTTGAAACAACAATGACAAAATTAATATTACACATCAAACCATAGTCCTGGCCTGTTAGTCAACCAATAAATGCATAAATAAGTGGAACAACGAATGTCTCTCTCTCGCTGAAAAAGATAGCAACCACAGATCCAGGAAACTCAAAGAATACCAAGCAGGAAAAATGCCAAAAGAACCACATCTAGACATATCATTTTCAAACTACAGAAAATTAAAGAAAAAGCCAGCGGGGAAAAAAGTACTTTAGCTACAGAGAAACCAACAAAAATTATATTCAATCTCTCCTTAGAAACTATGCAAGCAAGAAGAGAATAGAGTGAAATATTTAAAATGTTGAGAAAAAAACCCACTAGTAAAATTATTCTTCAAAGATGAAGGTGAAATAAAGACTTTCTCAGACAAAAATCTACTGTTGCCAGTAGATTTGCTTTGCAAGAAATGTTAAAAGATGTTCTTTAGAGAGAAGGAAAATAATATAGGCCAGAAACTTGGATCTACAAGAAGAAGGAATAAAGATACAATAAAAACTTATTTCCTCCAAAACCGGTTTGGCTCAGTGGATAGAGCGTCGGCCTGTGGACAGAAGGGTCCCAGGTTCGATTCTGGTCAAGGGCATGTACATTGGTTGCGGCATATCCCCAGTAGGGAGTGTGCAAGAGGCAGCTGACCGATGATTCTCTCTCATCGATGTTTCTAACTATCACTCTCTTCCTTTCTATAAAAAAAATCAATAAAATATATTTTTAAAAAAATGAAATAAAAGCACTGTCAGATTAACAAAAGATGAGAGAATTTCTTGTTGGCCAACCTACTTTACAAGAAATACCAAAGGAAATTCTTCAAGAATTACCAGAGAGTAAGCTGAATTTACAAGAACAAAAAACCAAAGAGTACTAAAAGATAATTAGTAGGTATTTATAAAAGACAATATAATTGCATATTTAATCTTTTAACCAATTTAAAAAGCAATTACATAAAATAATATGTATCACTGTACTATTGTGCCAATAACACATAAATATATTTGACAAGAAACACACACAAAAAAGAGGGCAGGAGCAAAGATATATTAAAGGGAATAATGCTAGATGATATTTCAAATTCAAAGGGAGAAAATGAAGACAACCAGAAAAGGTAAATAAATTTAATCTGGCCCATCAGCAGATGATTGGATCAAAAAACTATGGTACATCTACACAACGGAATATTATGTGCCATAAAAAAAAGAAGGAATTCTATCATTTGCAGCAAGCTGGATGGAATTGGAGAATATCATGCTGAGTGAAATAAGCCAGTCAATGAAAGAGAAACACCACATGACCTCACTCATTTGTGGATAATAAAGAACATTATAAACTGATGAACCAAAAGATAGATATAGAGACAGTAAAGCAACAAGCAGACTGTCAAATTACAGCAGGGAGGGTAGGGAGATCTGGGGAAGATAAGAGATCAACCAAAGGACTTGTACATGCATATAAGTACAACCAATGGATACAAAACTCTGGGGAGGGAGGGCAAGTATGGGGGGCGGGCAATGGTATATGTACACAGGTAATAATTTAATTTAAAAAAAAGTTTAATCTGCTATAAATATAGTACTTGGCTCCCATTCTTCTGTCAGTCTATTTAAATGTCATATGATTCTATCAAGTAATAATTATAACAATGCACTGTTGGGTTTGTAATATTTAGATGCAGTATGTATTATAGAACAATAATAGCACAAAAAGAGTAGAGCTATATAGGAGCAAAGTTTTTATAACCCTTTGAATAAATATGAAGTAAAACTTGATAAGTGAATAGATTACTGGGAAAAAAAATAAAACAGTATAATTAAGGATTTTTGAAGGAATTAAATATTACACTAGAAACCATTCAATGTAAAAGTAGGCAATAAAGGAGCAAAAAAACAAAGAAAACAGAATGGATTGGATAAAGCAATAAAAAACAAATATGATCCAACTATATGCTGTCTACAAGAAACACACTTTAGATTCAAAGACAAAAAGGCAGAAAGTGAAAGTAACTAAAATAGAGCTGAAGTAATTACACTAGTATCAGACAAGAGACCTTAAGACAAAACTTACTAGAGACAGAGAAGGACATCCTACATAATCCTACATAATAAAGGAGTAATATGCAAATCGATTAATGACTGGTTGCTATGATGCGCAATGACCACCAGGGGGCAGATGCTAAACACAGGAACTGTCCCCTGGTGGTCAATGCGCTCCCACAGGGGGAGCGACACTCAGCCACAAGCTGGGTTAATGGCTGGCACGCGCAGTAGTGGTTGTGGGAGCCTCTCCCACCCCCGCAGCAGCACTAAGGATGTCCAACTGCAGGAGCAGGCCTAAGCCGTCAGTTGGACATCCCCCAAGGGCTCCGGGGCTGCTGAAGGGCACAGGCAGGGCCAGCCACCCTCTCCCAGGACACGAATGTCATGCACCAGGCCTCTAGTTTTATAAAAAGTAACAGTCAATCCCTCAGGAAGACATCACAATTATAAACATATATACAGAGCCCCAAAATACATGAAGCAATTCAATTATAACAACTATACACTTCAAGACTCCACTTTTAGTAACGGATAGAACAACTAGACAAAAGATCAATGAGAAGATAGAAGATTTGAGCAACACTATAAAATCAATAAGCCAATTGGACCTAAGACACATCTATTTATAGAACAAAACTCCACTCAACAGCAGCAGCAGAATACAGATTCTCCAAGTATACACCAAACATGCTTCAGAACAGACTATATATTCATATATTCATAAACAAGCCTTGATAATTAAAGGATTAAAATCTCACAAATATGTGGACCTTAAATAAAATACTCCTGAATAACCAACAGATTAAAGAAGAAATCACAAGGGCAATAAGAAAATACTTGGAGATAAATGAAAACAAAAATGAAAAATGCCAAAACTTACAAGATGCAGCTAAAGTAGTGCTCCTAGGGAAATTTGTACCCATAAATGCCTGTATTAAAAAAAGTTTTCAAACCACCCCACCCCACCAATACCCAACACCATTCATTTTCTATCATATTATTCTATTTCAGTGCCTGAAACTCTCACTGTATGTTTATGTTCCTCATTGGGACATAAGCTTTCTGAAGGCAGAAATTTTGTATTGTTCACTGCCAGGCCATGTTAAAGCAATAGCTATAGAAGAGTACCTGACTATATTAGGGGCTTAATGTTTTCTGACCAACATCTTATTAAGAACTATCACTTGTATTTAGATAAGCTTTAACTGTCAATCCAAATTTGTTTATATTGCATATTACTGACTCAACTTCCTATCAATTTATAAAATTTGGGATCCATTACAGAATCACTCTCTTAAACTTTCTAGTTTTAAATAAAAGTTACCCCCCCGCCCTCCCCCAAAAGTTATTCCACCAACATTTTTTGAAAATAGCATATCGTTTCTTTTAAATTATTATAAAAAATAGAAAATGCAAAAAAAATCTTAAAACAAGTCAAATAAAAACTAAAATATAATTAATATAATATACAATGGCTAAGACAATGTAATATATTTTTGAATTGTGGAGTAAGAAATCATTCCCACTTGCTTAACATAATCTTGCAAGGTAGGTACTGAAAGGTGTGAAACAACGACCATACAAAAGCTTGAAAGAATACTATAGTTCCTTAAAACAACCAGAGCCTAACTTATCAATAGTAATTATATCTAGATAATGAAGTTTATACACACAATAAACATTTTAAATTAAATGGTATCATGATAAAACCACCTCCCCCACAATGTGAAACTTACACAGTCTTTTTGTCCTGTCGAAGAAGTTTAGAAGAAAATTCACTTAGTACTTCCAGGAAAGCCAGATTAGGTGGTGGGTATTCTTGTCCTTTCTGATTTTGGTACTTAAAGGCAAATTCTATGCCATCCCTAAAGTAAAAGAAAATATCATCTAGTTTTTCCAGATAGCTAATGTAATTCTCTTAATGGGCTAGAGTTTTAAAAATAGTTAGGAAGGCAGCAAAGTCATCTCTAAAGAAAACAAATTCTCATAAATTCAGCGGTAAAATATTACCCATGTGAGATATTTGCATAATATTAATTTATGTTTATTTTTTACAGTAAAAAACTAAGTTGTGAAAAGCAATTAAAAAATTAAAACACCCTAGCCAGTTTGGCTCAGTGGATACAGCTTCAGCCTACAGACTGAAGGGTCCCAGATTCAATTCAGGTGAAGGGCACATGCCCAGTTGTAGGCTCAATCCCCAGTAGGGGGCATACAGGAGGCAGCCGATCAAAGAATCTCTCTCATCATTGATGTTTCTATCTTTATCTCCTTCTCTCATCCTCTCTGAAATCAATAAAAATATATTTAAAAATAAATAAAAAGCTACAATGTTATGATGACACTAGATAATCTCTAAAGTTTTTATAACTTAAAAAACTTGTTCATTTGTTACTTAAAAATGGGTCACATAATAGTTATCTTAGTTAAATTCCAGCAAACCAGAATCTATATAATAGAATGTTACAGATTATTTAGCTTACTCACTTGTGAAGTGTGGCAACTGCTTCTCGTGTCTTGATTTGGTCCAGTCCAAACGTAAGGGCAAAGCGACGAGCCAATTCTTTAATGCCGCTCACATGGGCAGATGTCCTATCTAGATTGGGACCTTGCTCTTGAACAAGTTCATTAAACAACTGGTAGAAAGAAAAGAAGAAACTACATTTAAAAAATATTTATTTATTTTATTTATTGTAAGAATAGGTAATATAATTTAAAAATATTTCAGAGGCATATGGTAAAATATTTAAGTATAGTCATACTGTTTTCCTTTACTAAGTCATCTACTATTACTAGTTTCTTAAGATCATTTTCATGTTATGTGATTAAATGAAACAGAAATTTATTTCTTTTGAACAAAAAAGTGAATTTAGGGTTGGGAAAATGAAATGTTTGTATACACTACATATTCATAAACATCTATATGTTCTTTTTGTTGTCATTTTCACAGGAATGGCAATGTATAAAATATAGGGTTGAAAACTTTTTTTCTTCACTTAAATATCTTAGACAAGAACATTGTGCAAAAGACCATTTGTATATATGGGGCTATTATTTTTCCCACCCAGTAAAAATATAAACAAAAAAGTTCTTAAGTGCGTGGAAGGCTTTTATAAATTATATATACATTACATACATGTGTCAAAATAACCACAAAAACACAGCCTCAGAGTGGTAAAGACCTCACTCCCTTTTACCCACTCGGCAGCTTGGCTCTTGTGCTTGTTGACTCTTCCCTCCTGCATCATTAACTATTCCCTCTCCTAGATGCCCTCATTTCTTAGCTTTAAAGTTTACATTTAAAATAATATATCCGTAGCCAGTGTGGCTCTGTGAGTTGGAGTGAGGATAAAAGTAAATAAATAAAATAAATAGAAAGAATATATTTCATTGTATAAAATTCAAAGAACATCTAAGTAAATTTTTACTCCCTCCCTTTTCCCCACTAAATATCATTCTTCTCTCCAAAGGTAATCAATGTTCAAGTTCAGAAGTTTACTAGGCCAATTTAGAAATATTGATATATTTCATACACAAAGTTTTTATTTTTACAGAAATGGCACCATATTACTTATTTTGTCCTAGAACTTTCTATTTTTCATTTAATGTTTTGTCTTTAAAATCTTTTAGCTACTTGAGATAATCAGTTTATTTCATTCCTCTGTTGATGGACACTGAGACTATTTCCAATTTTTTAATATTACAGAAACTGCTGCAACAAAACATCTCTTACATATATATATCTTGTGCACACTTGCATGTAACTATATAGATACCCAATAACAAAAGATTGGTTTTAAAAAGAATATACATCTTGAATTTTGAAATATACTGTAAAATTATATTACAATTAGACAAAAGCAATGTCTTTTATAAGGGATCTTTTCCCCCTCATCTTTTTCAATTAAAGGTTTTATTAATCATTTAAATTCATACCAATCTGATCAGCTGTGATAAATATCTCCTAGTTTTACTTTATATTTCATTAATGATTAATGAAGTAATGGCTCTTTTCATATGTTTACTGGCTTTTAAGATTTCCTCTTCTGAAAAGTGGCTTTTCATATCCCTTGCTCACTATCCTAAGGGGTGTATTTATCTTTCTTACTATTGTAATGTTTGATTAAAAATACTTGGACTCAATCTCATTTGTTTAACTTTGTTCATAGTACTGGTCGATGATTAATCTATTTAAATTTATACATATCACCAGTTTTTTACTTTGTGGCTTCTTTCTTCAGTAAGGACTTCTCCACTCAAGGATATAAAAATATCCTGTTTCATTTTCTTATAAACTTTTAATTTTTAACATTTATATAATAATCCAACTAGAAGTTATTTTGGGTATGTATTAGGTAGGGCTATAAATAACTATTTTCCCAAAGATATATTCAATTGGCCCATCATTATTTAAAGAACAAGCCCAATCCTTTCCCCCACTGATTTGAAATGAGACCTTTATATCAAAGACTAAATATATACACACATATCTATGCCTCTCGCCCCAAACTCTATACTAATTTACTAGGCAATTATTAGGAATCTTATTTATACAATATATGTGACATATTTCTTTTAATTATTACTTTTTAAATATCCAATTTGGCATTTTATCTGGTCTAACAGATCACCTTATGATTTCATCTATTTGAAATATGAATTTTTGGATTATCTTCCAAAAGAAAAGACATGTAATACATATCTTTGTATCAGAAAATATCCATAGTAATATTCTGATATAATGACCTAATTTAAATTAGGTAAGATACTTAGCACATACTAAACGCAAGGAAGTGTTCAATATGTTAATGCCACTTTTTATCTCTTTCTTTCAAATTTCTTACCTGCTGTAAACTGAGAATGAGGGTCTTGGCACACTGAATTTTATCAATCTGCCTGGTTTTACTCAGTGTTTCCTTAATAATATCACCATAGTCATTATAATACTGTGAAGAAAAGAAAGAAATCATAGCTTTAAAATTATTGAAATTTCACAAAATAGAAAATGGATTGGTGGAAAAAAAAATAGGTTAAGTACAGAGGTATTTAATTTATCATAAACACAATGAGAATTTAAACATTTTGTCTAAAGTTAAAGGAATATACATTTGATACTTAAACTTGAGAAATCCTACTACTAATAAAACTAAAAAGCTGACAATTCTAAGAGAAGAGGAAGTCATGTAGGGTAAACAGAATTCCTCATTCTTTATAACATAGACTCAAAAGACACTACTTTAAAGGTGACAAATCAAGCAATAGACTTCAGTAGAAACTCCCTTAAGAACTAAACTGCAAACAGTTAAAATTACTTACCTCTGGGAAGTGGGCCTAAATAAGGGGGAAAGGTAGAGTAGGTACAAACATAACTTTAAAACCATATATATATAATTTATTTTTTTACAGAGAGGGAGGAGGATAAAGAGTTAGAAACATCGATCAGCTGCCTTAGGGCCAAACTTATATTTTCATTTAATACTCTGTGTACTATCTTATTTATTCTGCTAACATGTCTATATTTTACTATTATAATATAAACAGGAAAAAAATTGAAAAATACTTGATTTTCAACAGTGACTGAGAAAAATTTAATTTCTTTATAATTCAGGGTGTTTTTTTTTAATATAGAATGTAAAAAAATGTTCCTTGTAGTAAAAAATAGGAAAAGTTTTATTTGAAACCATTAAATCTGAAATTTATTTCCAAGCTAAAATTTAAACCCTAAACCTATATGAAGAAGTGTGTGTATTAGCCTACCAAGTGAATTTTTCATAATCTTCAAAAAAGGGGTATGCTTCCACGATATCAGGTGCAAAGAAGGAAAAATAATTCAAAAGAATAACCCTCAAAGTGTAATTAAAAACGATCTCAATGTAGGAGAAAAAAGAGAAAGATATATTGAAATACTAAAGTGGTTCAACAGATAGATAATAAATTCAGATTTTTAATTCCAGGGATATAGAACAAAGGATTATTAACAAATAGCTATTAGAATATTCACAAAAAGATTAGAGCATATAATGATCAGAGGCATGCAAAATTTTATAAGGATTATAAAAGACTGGGAAAAGTCTCACTTCTTGACACCAATGCAATATTGTTGAGAAGTGAAAAGGAACAATCATGGTAAGCTCGCATTCATTCATCCAAACCCTGCCTAGACATTAGCTTAGGAAGCCTTCTCTGATTCCTCTCACATAAGCCTGTCTCTATGTCCTATGCTTGCCTTAAAATTTGTACATCTGTCACTACAATAATTATGCTGAGGCTTTATGGAAGGAACTAAGTCTTGCAGCTAAATAAACCTAAAATAAAATTCCAATTTTTGCTACTTTAATAGTTGTGTGATCTTGGAAAGCTACTCAACCCATGCCTTAACTTCCTTATTTGTAAATAATTTGATTTTCTACCTCTTAGGATTATTGTAATCAACAAAAATAATGTAAAAGCCTCAGAACAGTGTCTCAAATATAATAGTACACACACAAAAAAAACATAAGCAACCAAAAAACAAAACCCCAACCAAAAAACCAAACAAAAACATAGGCAACTTTATGTTTACATTTTAGTTTCTCTATTAATCTATTAGAGGTCTGATGCACAAAATTTGTGCAATAGTAGGTCTTCCTTCCCTTGGCTTCTAGCACCGGTTTTCCTCTTGTACCCGGGCCCTGGGCTTCCCTTGCAGCCCCAGTTTCATCCGGAAGGATGTCGGGTCTAATTAGCATATTAAGCTTTTATTATTATAGATAAGCTCTTTAGTGCAGAAATCATGTCTTATTTAAATCTCTGGCTACCTGATTAGGTCCTGATTTTTGGCACAAAAAAGAGCACCCCAAAACAGTGCTAGTCACATTTCAGTTGTTGACAAAATATGATCAATTAGTTACTAAGTCATAACTATAATTGGATTATATCTAAACATGGATAAAGACACAAGTGGATCAATGGTATACAACATTCTGATTATGGGAAAAGCAGTGTTTCTGACATGAGAATAAGGCCACCCATGCCACAAGAAGGTGTTCTCTCTTATCTGTGCCTGTCAGGCCATGTTATAAAGATTTCTGAACACTTTTTTAGAGAATCAAGAGCAAAATGGAGCTTTTGGAAAGAAGAGCAGCAAGGAAGGTAAGTACCAACCAAAACTATAATATGAAAAATTAATTAAAACACTTCAACACGCCGAGGCTGGTTTGGCTCAATGGATAGAGCGTTGGCTTGGGGACTGAAAGGTCCCGGGTTCGATTCCGGCCAAGGGCACGTACCTTGGTTGCCAGCATATCCCCAGTAGGGGGTGTGCAAGAGGCAGCTGATCGATGACTCTCTATCATCGATGTTTCTAACTCTATCTCTCTCCCTTCCTTTCTGTATAAAATCAATAAAATATATTTAAAAAAAACAAAACAAAAAACAAAAAACAAAACACTTCAACACCTCTTTACTTCCCTATGGGAAAAACCCAAACATCTCATACATTATTATTAGGTCTAACCTGTCTATTTCTTTTTTTAAAATTTAATTTATTGATTTTTTAGAGAGAGGAAAAGAGAGGGAGAAAGAGAGAAAGGGGAGTTGAGGGAAGGAGAGAGGAACATCGATTTGTTGTTCCACTTTCTTATGCATTCATTGGTTGATTCTTATCTGTGCCCTGATGGGGAATTGAACCTTCAACCTTGGCGTAGGATGACACTCTTAACCAACTGAGCTACCCAGCGAGGACTCTTATCACTTTTTAAAAATCTTATCTCTGCCTGTTTTTATAAGTAATCTATGTATAAAATTATCTGCATTTTCCCTAAACAATTCATTGCTCTGTGAAGTTCAGTCTATAAGTCCTCCCACTACTTCTTTGCTTGACTAATTTATGTTTAACTGTCTCATAGTTCAGAAATTTTCATTAACCCTCATATTTTACTCTCTTTTTAAAATATATTTTTTATGATTTCAGAGAAGAAGGAAGAGGAAGCAAGCGATAATAACATCTATGATGAGAATCATTACCAGCTGCTTCCTACACATCCCCTACTGGGGATCCAGCCCACAACTTGGACATGTGCATTGACCAGCAATCAAACCATGACCTCCTGGCCATAGGTTGACACCTAATCACTGAGCAATATCAGCCAGGTAATGCTCACATTTCTTAAGAGTTAAGTATCTGTTTTAAGGACGTCCTACATATACTTCTGTTTAATGCAAATTATTCTCATGTCAGAAACATTGTTTTACTTTTCCCATGATCAGTATGTTGTATACCATTGATCCACTTGTGTCTTTATCCATGTTTAGATATAATCCAATTATAGTTATGACTTAGTAACTAATTGATCATATTTTGTCAACAACTGAAATGTGACTAGCACTGTATTGCGGTGTTCTTTTTTGTGCCAAAAATCAGGACCTAATCAGGTAGCCAGAGATTTAAATAAGACATGATTTCTGCACTAAAGAGCTTATCTATAATAATAAAAGCTTAATATGCTAATTAGACCCGACATCCTTCCGGATGAAACTGGGGCTGCGAGGGAAGCCCAGGGCCCGGGTGCCTGCAGGGGCCAGAGAGAAGCCCAGGGCACGAGTATAAGAGGAATTAAGGACACCCTACATATACTTCTGATTAATGCAATTATTTAATTACTTGACTCTATGCAGCTTTAGATTGGAATTAAAGCAGAGATTAAAAAGATCTTCATAACTTTAGCTTTGGCAAGCAACATGGTACACAGTTGTCATACTTATAAAAATATCAGAAGAGATGTCATAAGGGAGAGACATTAGCTTTTTGCTATGTTGAACAAGAGAATACAAAGCCACCCACCTGGCTGGTAGCAAAGTTGGTTAGAGCATCATCCCAATAAACCAAGATTTAGGGTTTGATCTCCACTCAGAGGACATACAAGGATCAACTAATGAAAGCATGATTAAGTGGAACAACAGATTGATGTTTCTCTCTCTCCCCCCTCCTAAAAATAAATAAAATCTAAATATATAAAAGCCTAAGCAACCGAAAGACCAAATGAGTGGTCGCTATGACGCATACTGACCAACGGGGGGTAGATGCTCAATGCAAGAGCCACCCTCTGGTGGTCAGTGCACTCCCACAGCCAACCTCCCATGGTCCCTCCTACTGGCTGGCTGGCCCAAATCAGCCCCAATTGCCAGCCAAACCAAGGGTCCCTACCCATGCACAAATTTATGCACTGGGCCTCTAGTCCTATATAATAAAAGACTAATATGCAAATAGACTGAATGGCGGAACAACCGGTCACTATGACATGCACTGGCCACCCTGGGGCAGACGCTCAACATAGGAGCTGTCCCCTAGGAGTCAGTGTGCTCCCACAGGGGGAATGCTGCTCAACCAGAAGCCAGGCTCATGCTGGCAAGCACAACAGCAGGAGCCTCTCCCGCCTCTGCAGCAGCTGGACATCTCCCGAGGGCTCCCAGACTGTGAGAGGGCGCAGGCTGGGCTGAGAGACCTAATAATCTAATAATAAATAAAAATAAAAAAAGAATACATGTTCTTGGTAGCTGTCTATGGAGCATGCCTGCACCGTTTTCCACCCCTATCCTCCAGGTATGTTTTCCTTGCTTCTCTTTTTCTTCTAACCTCCAAGTACCCCCTCCCCCCCCTTTTTTGGCCTCTGTAACTTGTTTCCTGAGCCCACTTTATTCTACAGTTCACTTTTACTTCTGTGGCTTTCTAAATAAAATTTTTATTTATAAAAAAAGGGAATATATGGCCTCATGAAAATAAAAACCCATTCTTTCATATAAATGTGAAGAACTCCAATTTTACAGAATAGATATAATGGTATACATAAAAAGTTTATACTTATATAAGAGACAAACTTTACACATATAAGAAATCATCAATTATATATATATACATAAAAGCTGTAAATTTTGCCTTCCGTTACCATCCCTTCTTTCATTTTTAGTTACAAACTTCTCTGCCAATTAGATGCCAAGAGAAAAAAAATACAAAAATATACCTTCATGTAGTGTTTAAAGATGTCTGCAGCTGCATGCATGTCAACAATATCATAAATGATAAGTTTGCTGAAGGCAGCGAGTAGATTTCTTCTTTTGTGTAAGGCCTCGATTTTATTTGCTTCATCTTCTTCGTCACCCTCTGACCACAGAAAATACATCATCAACTTTATCCAAGGTAAAACAATGTAAAAAATCTATACACTAAAAACTCAGCTTATATTATACCTTTACAAAAAGGTACAATTCAGCTTTATTTATTTATTTATTTATTTAATTTTATTTTATTTTTTACAATTCAGTTTTAGATGGGATGAAATAATGTTATACTAATTATTTGAGGGTGCTATATTTAATTAGATTTTTGTCATATATTTGCTGGGAACTGCGATTCCTATCTTTTAGGAGACTGCCAGAGCAAAGACTAAGAAAACTACATGTAAAAATATTATTTGTCTGATATTTTCATCATAATACTGCTGTCTGTTTACTTTAAAATGCGGTCTTATTTCAATATCCTTATTTGCTAATGTATTTCCACAGAGAAGAAATTTTTAAGTCGCAGAAAAAAAGTTTTCTTTTAGAAAAATACATGGGGAATAATGGCAGTATATGGGGAGTTAGTTTTCAATGCTTGTCTTAAACATGGTCTACAGTATCAGCTGAAAAATAAATTTTATTTTGCAAACCATATTATACAAATATACATTGAAAAATAAAGTCCTATCAAGTAGTGTTTCTTCCTTATTATTAATTAATTAATTTAGTCAGGCCCTATTGGCTAGTCTATTTCTAATCCTAGGAAAACTTTCTCTATAAAGCTCAGATGATAACTTTTACCACATTTTTTGTTTCAGGTTCTGTACTGATCCTTTTATGTCTTAATCTGCCCTTATTTGGAGACAATGTTCATTCTTCCCATTTTTAGATTCATAAATAAAACAACCCCAAAAATAACCCCCAAAACTTCTCTTCAACTTCTCTTTCTACTAATTGGTCCCGCTGTGAAGCATCAGTGCTTGGAGAAGTTGGAAATCTTTTTGCTTAAAACAAGAAGCAGGTAAATTTTATCTTTTGAGATTAATGTTGACTCTATGACATTAATAAAGACACTTTGTTTCACAGTTTAGTATATTCTAAAATGTTTTGTTAAAGGACATTTTAATAGCATCAAAATAGATCTGTGGATCAGATGTGCCATAGATCTTATTTTAGAGAACTTAAATTATCTTTTTCACAAATAACCTATATAATTTATTTACGATTGTTTACAATCGTAAATTTTGCTAATTATTCTGCAGGCTCAGCACAGTTTTGACTAGTGAGGTTCAACAAGTCTTTCAAAACTTGTTCTATATGAGAAAGGAACTGATGTTTTCCCCTTCAGGAAAACCATGAAACAAAATCTATCCCACATATACATTATGCACGTGTGAAGTGAAAAATGTATAGAATTATCCTTTAGAGCAAAGGAAGAATACTTCACTATGCATTTTTATTCATTTTGGTTTCTGAATTATACAAACGTATTATTTTTTAAAAAAAGAGAAATTCTAATATTTTTAAAAATTAATTTTTTCCCCTCTTATCTTTCGGGGCTGGTAAAACAAGATAAGTAGTGACAAGATGAGAGCTACAAATACCCATGCTCTGGTTCTCCTCATCTTGGTCAATGAAAACGTGATCCATCACAAAACTGAGGAGTTCAGACTGAAGTCCAGTATCTGGATTAAATACCAAAGGTTGAAGGCCCTCTCTGCCACCTGTCATTAATTGGTGGCTAAAAATCATCAAAAGATCACAGAGTAACATGAAAGCCTGGAATGCAAAGGAAATTCATTAGTAAAATATTGCTACAATGTCAAATCAATGTTAATAAAAATATACTAAATTAAACATAATTTCATAATCCTACCTAATAAAAGAGTAATATGCAAATTAACAATCACTTTGCTATACCCACCAGCCACACCCACCAACCAATCAGAGCGAGTATGCAAATTAACCTCAACCAAGATGACTACTGCCACAGAGACCAGGAAAGAGGCTAGGGTTGCCCCCGGTGATAGAACATGCCAAGCTTCTGCAGCCCTGGCCAGCCTAGGCCTCCGTTCCAAGCTACAAAGTTCCAATTATAGAGGGTAAACAAATCCAAACAGAAATGGTGGCAGCCACGGAGTGAGCAGGAGGCTTGGCTGCACTCCAGGATACAAAGTTTCAATTGTAGAAGATAAATAAATCCCAGATACCAGGGCCTCCGCTTGGGTTGCCAGGGGGCGTGGCTGGCTTGCAAACCAGCACAGGCCCCTTGCCCAGGCCGCCACATACCCCAAGGGAACCCTCACCCGGATCCGGTTCACCCATCAGGGCAAACCAGCTGGCCCCCACCCATGCACCAGGCCTCTATCCTGTCTAATGAAAGAGTAATATGCAGACTGAACATCACTCCAACACACAAGATGGCTGCCCCCATGTGGACACAAGATGGCCACCATAAGATGGCCAGCAGGAGAGGGAAGTTGGGAGACCCCAGGCCTGCGTGCGAGGGCAGTTGAGAGGGACCAGTCCTGCAAGAGAGGGAAGTTGAAGTTGATCAACCTTGTAGGGGAGGACAGTTAGGGGTGACCGGGCCAGCAGAGGGAAGTTGGGGGCAAACAGGCTGGCAGGGAAGCAGATATCAATCAGGCTGGCATAGGAATGGTTAGGGGTGATCAGGCTGGCAGGCAGAAGCTGTTAGGGGCAATCAGGAAGGCAGGCAGGTGAGCAGTTGGGAACCAGCAGTCCTGGATTGTGAGAGGGATCCCAGATTGGAGAGGGTGCAGGCTGGGCTGAGGAACACCTCCACCCCTTCCCCACCCCCGTGCACGAATATCGTGCCCTGGGCCTCTAGTAGTATCATAATAGAAACTTTGGGTATTTAAATTCCAACTATTTAGTTTTAAGTTTCTAAACTTAATACTAAACACTAGTCATATTTAAGATTCCTCCTTCCCCAATTATAATCTAGTTCTTTTATTTGGTTATTTTAACTCAAATACTGATTAAGAGATTTTTGACTTGAATGTAAAGATTCAATGAGTTGAACTCAACTCATTGGAAATGCAAAATTGATACAATAAATTACAACAGTGTTTAGAAATCAATCGGATACTGCTTAATCAAATAATAAGTATAAATCTTAAGACCAAATATAATTTCATAAATTACAATGCAGTACTATAAACCTGTAATCTACTATTTATCCCCTCACATTTTTTAATTAAAAATTTTTTTAATGTTGGCATTATTGTAGGAGTCCTCCACATCCTTGCCTACCTCCATCCTCCCCTATCGACCCTTTCTTGAACTTCACCAAATTATTGTCCATGTCCAAGGAGTATGCATATATGTTCTTTTAAAAATCTAATGTAGCCCTGGTGGTGGTGTTGCTAAGTGGTTAGAACATCAGCCTGTGGGTCGTGGGTTTGATTACCCAGACAAAGGCACATACCTCGGTTGTGGGTTTTGCTTCTCCCTTCACGCCTCGCCCCCCTGCATTGGGATTCATCCCAGAGGCAACCAATAGATGTGTCTCTCTATTTTCTCTTCCTCACTCTATTTCTCTTCCCTTCCCTCCCTTCCTTCCACTCTCTGAAAAGCAATGGGAAAAATATCCTCAGGTGAGGATTTAAAAAACAAAATATAATGTAAAAAAAAAATCTCTAATATTAGGTAACATTAAATTCAAGACCACATAAAAATCAGTATCTAAAGTTTCGGGACAAATTTAATCATTTAAGGTAGGGGTGGGAATGTACAAGGCCCAGGAAATCATTTGTTCTGGCCCTGCCAAGGCATTAGGAGTTAATTAAATGTTTGACCAAATATACAGGCTAATTTTTAAGTTGATAATTTTGTATGGCCAATGAATGACATTATAAATATCCAAAGGGCCTTGGCAGAAAAAAAGGTTCTTTACCCCTGATTTAAGGGAACTTTTAATGAATTTCCCCAAGGAGAAATTATTATAGTTAAGCTGCCAAATTTGCCCTATTTAATGGATGGTATGAAATAAAACTGTCATCAGTTTATTGTAATTGAAAGGTTTGTTGGTATCTGAGGGCTCTGATATTTCAAAAGCAATCTATTCGGCCCCCTCCAAAATTGATTTCTATGGGAAAATACAACTTTGACACTTATTTAGAAATTGCCATATACTTTGCTAGAAACCTCCAATAAGATTCATGCAATTCATGCTCTGACTACACAACCATGAAATACATGAGCCTATTTAGAAAAAGCCACTTGAAAAGGGGAGCATAAAAAGAATCCAGACCTTTTGTTCTTTAACCAAAGCCATAGTTTCGGATATCACCAAACAGTGATGACACAAAAAACAATGAATTTTTTGGTTTAAATGTTTAGAGCTAGGTAATTTTACACAGTACTGGTGGCAATCAGAGATTTCTAGAACAAAGGTTAGGGTAGATGATCTCTGTTCCCATTTTAAGTTAGATGCTGATAACCCAATAAAGAAAACCCACGATAACCTATTTATAAAATATATTATAGCAAAGGATTAATACTACTGTACACTTTAACTAATTAGGCTTTATTTCTAGTTCAACAACATAATAAAAACAGTATGGAAAAGGTACATTTTGTTTCATATTAAAATGCTTCCTAATAGAAAAACAGTAAAATAGTTGACAAATCCAATCCATGGAAATGGTATTGCCTTGGGCTCTACTTTGACCCTCTTTGGACTGCACCCTTTCCCAATAATGAGGAGTATGGTGGACCAATAGTATATGCCTACCTGCATCTCTACTTCTATACTACCCTCCAGGTATCAGAACTCAGGGATTTCTTTCTTTAAATCCTCATCCAAAGATATTTTTTCCATTGATTTTTAGAGTGTGGAAGAGAGAGAAAAAGACAGAGAGAAATATTGATGTGAGAGAAACACATCAATTGGTTGCCTCCTGCATGCGACCAAACCAGGATCCAGGCCAGGGAGGAGTTTTCAACTTAGGTACCTTCCCCTAGACCAGAATGGAACCCAGGATCCTTCCGTCCACAGGCCGATGTTCTATCCACTGAGCCAAACCAGCTAGGGTGACTCAGGGATTCATTGCCTTAACAAATGTGATTCTGCTACAAGAGCCTGCACAGGATTCTTCCCCAGGCTCACTGCACTGCATCCCCAGTGCCTGTACTCCTAGGTCCCAGGGTGGTCAGGAGCAGCTGTTTGAGGGGGTGATGCTGATAAAGTTTGGACATGTGAGCTAAGTATTCACAATGCATGTAGGAGAAGTTCTTCCCAGTGCAGGAAAACGCTCAAGGTGAGATAAGAAAAGGGAGGCTCACAGGCCAGCACCCAGCCTTCTAGATCAGCATCTCATCAAGGTATAAAAGACATGTAACAGGTTTGTTAGATTGCTTTGTAACTTAAATATTTAGACACCTATAATCTTGTCCTAGGTCTCATTAATGTAAGAGAAAAACAAGCATGCAAAGAATTACAATAAAAAATTACATCTTCTTACATGGTTTGTAATGCAATTGAGTTACTTTTATTGAGAGCTTTTAATAATTTCTTACCTGTTCCTTCACTGGAGTATTAACATTAGATAGGCACTGTTGGCAAACGGCCAAAAAGGATTTCACGGTTTTCCTCAATACCAACAAATCTTCCTGTAAGACACATTCAAATTTGCCAGCATGAATTACAGTATCCTAGAAAACGGATCCAAAGGAAATAATACATAGCAAAGAGCCAAACTGGCCTAATATCAAAGAAAGTCATAAAACCAAATTTATCATTGGGAACCAAACCATATAGTTATTTCCTAGTTTAGCGGTCGCCAACCGGTGGGCTGCGGACCACTGGTGGTCCGTGAGGTCCGAAAGGTTGGCGACCGCTGTCCTAGTTATCCTAATAAAAAGAGTCAAGAAACTGATAAACCCAAGCACTCAGTTCTATTTAGCTATGGAATGATCAGTATCATTTTCTCCAACAAAATTTTCCTTTATAAATATGGTTCACTTAAGCCAGTGTTTGGCAAACTCATTAGTCAACAGAGCAGCAAACCGCGGCTTGTGAGCCGCATGTGGCTTGGGAGCCGCAGTTTGCTGACCACTGACTTAAGCTGATATTAAAATTGTTAGTCATTTCCATAAACATACTAGCTGTAAGGCGAGGGAGCACAGAAGCACACTAAAAAAATCAATTAAGCAACAAATGTGTACTGAGTTTCTCTTATATTCTCAGCATTCTGCAAAATGTTAAGGGAAGACAGATAACTTTAAGACAGTGCCCATGTCCTCAGAGTTAACATCTTAGCAGAGAGTGTTTAAAATTTTTTTTATTAACTCTAACTATAGTAGAGAGATGAGCTAGAAGGACCTGCACAGGGGGGTGGGGTTTAATTTAAGGTTGGGTGGGTGAACAAGATTTAATTAGATGGCCATATAATATTTGATAGCAAACATTTGAAAAATATAAAAGGAAATTTAAATTTATTAAGTACCTATAATGTGTCAGACAATGGATTGAGGGCTAATTGCTACATAATATATCTATTAGAAGTAGTACTCATTATTAGCAAGGGTTGGAAACCAAGACTGTCTCAGATCAGAGCTCATATTCTTCTTAGTAATGAGCAAAATACATGCAGATAATTCAGATAATTTCCACAAAATCACTTCATGGAAATGGTATTACCCTTGGCTCTACTTTGACCCTCTTTGGACTGCACCTCTTCCCATGAATGAGGAGTCTGCTGGACCAATGGCATATGCCTACTGTGTCAATATGTAAAATGGTAATGAAGATAATTAAGTGAAAAAGACAGATATAGAAATTACTTTTAAAAAGTACTCTATTAAACTAAAAATCTATTAGCCTTTTTTACCAATGACAGTACTCAATGCTTTGTTGGATCTTTACATCCTAAATAATGATACTTTCATACATGTTTCCTTTTGCTAACATGAGTGCAGTATTTGGAAGGAGTAAGTTCAGAGTACTAAAAAAAAACACACACAAAAAAAAACACCTCAATGCCTTGCAAATCTTTAATGTTTCTTATAGAAGAACATTCAAAAATCAACCTCAACAGTACTTTACCTTCTTTAATTTCAAAGATAACACAATACGTTAAAAGAAATTTATAATGCACAAGGGAACAGGCAGCTGAATTAGAATATGAGGATTGCTATGTTGGAAACCCAGAGTCAAAAGTAGTCACTGAAGAATTCCCAAAGAAGATAACAAACAAGCTGAATTTTAAACAACTCCTAAAAATTATCTAGCTATAGAAAAAATGTGCCAGAGAGCACAGGATGTTCAGAAGCTTGGAGGTGCTTTTGAGAAACTGGTATTTATCGTAGTCTGGGCTTAAATAGGCAGTTGAGTGGCAAAAGAGAAAGCCAAATAGAAAAAAAGGATCCATTTCCACTTAAATGAAAGGCCATTAAAAATGCCATGTTAAATAATTTGGTATTAGTCTCATGGCAATGGGAGCTACTTGAAGGATTTTTATGAGTGCTAAAATTTTGTGTAAAAAAATCATATTATAACCAGAACAGGAGAATAATGTGGAACACAGAGACTAGTTAATAACAGATACAATCTTCTGTTGAGGGCTTAGTATGTACCTAGTACTGGGCCATAAATTTAAACTTCACACTCACTCTATGAAATAAGTGGTAATACTACTATTTTACAAATGAGAAAACTGAAGTTAATAAAACTGAAGTTAAATCCAAACCATTTTAAGTGATAGAGTAAGAGTCAAAATCTAGGATTACTCTGACACTAAACTCCAAGTTATTAATCATTGTTTTGTATTTCCTTACATATTAACAAAGGCCATAAGAGTAATCTAGAATGAGGGCCTAGAAATAAAATGTTGGCAGTAAAGATGCGAATAGTGTAGAATAAAAAAAGGTGTTCTATGGAAAGTGACCTCATAGGATGAACCAAAAAACTCTCAGCCGGTCAGGTCATGGTGGGGAGGCATGCCTTTGGCATATAATTTCTTTAGTAAAGGTTAATCTTTGCTTCAAGCAAGCCATTGTTTCTGTGCATCTAGGTTAACACACATTTGAAATGCCTCTTTTCAGACCCCTCCTTCTAATATATAACCACACTTTCAGATTCTTCTGAAAGTGTGACTGAGAGAGTATGTGGCGATATGGGCATAGCCCAATAAGGGCTGCAAGAACTATCACGGAGATAGTAAGACCTTAGGTTCCCTCCTTAAATTCAAATGCATAAAAATAGCAAAACTGCTATTCTTTAATGCACTTAAGATCTTGCTTTCCAGCAACTGTTGTCAGTTTTGACTCAAACTTCTATAAAAATTCTCTACGCCTTAACTGGTTTAGCTCAGTGGATAGAGCATTGGTCTTAGGACTGAAGGGTCCCGATTTTAATTCCAGTCAAGGGCAAATGCCTGTGTTGTGGACTCGATCCCCAGTGTATAGTGTGCAGGAAGCAGCCAATCAATGATTCTCCATCATTGATGTTTCTATCTTTCTGTCTCTCCCTCTTTCCCTCTGAAATCAACACAGTTATATTTAAAAATAAAATTCTCTACAAGTTTAGATATTTCTTATGTCAACATGCTATTAAATTTTAATTTGTTTTTCAACGGTCTCATGTCAATTTGATTATTAGACCAGTCAGAAGAATCGTGAAGGGTAGAGGATGATTTTTCCTCCTCAACACTACTAACTGATTATGTGATCTAAAAGAAATTACTTTGTATCTCAGAATTACAGATTTTTAAAATCTATATACAAGAAGGTTGATATATGTATAATCTAAGATTATATGATATTCTGTGCCTCTGCTGATTTAACTCCTAGGTAATCAAATGAGACAAATTAAGTGCTAATTGGTAAACTTCTTAGTATTCAAAAGATGAATGTTCACTGTTCCATTGCTAGTACCTAGAATAGTGCTTGGTACATGGCAAAAGTTTGTATTTACTGAATGAAATGTAAGTACACAGATGATACCACAATAAAGCTTAAAAATGATGCTAGGAGGTATTAATGTTCCTTTTTCTCTTAAAATTCCTGGCTAATGTGCGAAGAAACAGTCTACGGAAATCAGCTATCTTTGGAGTTAGAGACAAAAGATTTCTTTAAAAGTCAATCATAAAACAAATATGAATTATGGAAAATGCTAAGGTAACAGTTAAATTTGAGAGATGATTACTTGCCAATTTACCTGAAGAGTTGTAAATGTAATATCACAACTAAGTAAGCAGTCTACCGATGACTAATCAGTAGTAATATTTTAAGAAACTGAAAATAGGAAGCAACCAAGGAAGTAGAAGCTAAGGGCCTTCTTTAGCAGTAAAGTTTGGATACAACTTAAATATTATTTTAATCCTCAAGAAAGTTAATGTAATTGAATTAGATTGTCTAGATAAAAAAAGGGCTCTCCAATAAATCTGATTGCAACTAACCTCACAAGGTGATCTGATCATAAATTCCTAACTGCAGATCTTGGTAGGTATAAAAAGCCCTGTATATTGTTCTTATGCACTTAGGCTAACACACCTTTGAAATGCCAGAGTAACCCTCTTTTGAGATCCCCAAAGTGTAACCATCCTCAAGAGAGCACATAATTTTGTTAACTATCCTATAACTCAATCATAGGGATTCAACCCCTGGCCCCCAGTTTTGCTTTATCCCACCTTTATGTAGTCTTTCTTAAATGCCCACCTTGATTCCTAATGTGTAAACAGAACCACGAAGCCCTAGTCCCTAGGAAAATTTAAAATTGTGTTTCCTGATGTGTCCTTGGTTCACACTCATAAAAATTCTCTACTGGACCCTAGCTGGCTTGGTTTAGTTGAAAGAGCACTGGCCTGTGGACTGAATGGACCTGGTTTGATTTCAGTCAAGGGCACATGCCGGGGTTGCAGGCTTGATCCCCAGTAGGGGGCACGCAGGAGGCAGGCGATTAATGATTCCTACTCATCACTGATGTTTCTCTCTCTCTCTCTCTCTCTCTCTCTCTCTCTCTCTCTCTCTCTCTCTCTCTCTCTCTCTCTCTCTCTCTCTCTCGCGTTGAGGGCTTGATCCCTAGTAGGGGATGTGCAGGAGGCGGCCGATCAATGATTCTCCTCATGATGTTTCTATCCCTATCTCCCTCTCTGAAACCAATAAAAATATAAAAAAAATAAGACAAACAAAACAAATAAATTACCATGACTGTGTTCCATTAAAACTTTATTTAGGCCAGATTTGGCCCACAGACTGTAGCCTGTCCAGTCTATACTAGACTATAAAGTTATTTGGAGAGATAAACAGTAGTGCAAGCATGTCAAACTCAGCCGATGAGGCATGTAGCCCACCAGCCGTGAGTTTGACATGCTTGTTGTAGTAGGTACTAAACCTGACAAGTTCATAGGAAGCCTGCATGGCGGGACTTAAAAAACTGAGATCGGCCGAAACCGGTTTGGCTCAGTGGATGGAGCTTCGGTCTGCAGACTGAAAGGTCCCAGGTTCGATTCCGGTCAAGAGTATGTACATTGGTGTGGGCAAATCCCTGGTATGGGGTGTGCGGGAGGCAGCTGGTCGATGTCTCTCTCTCATCGATGTTTCTAGGTCTCTATCTCCCTCCTTTCCCTTTCTCTTTGTAAAACAAACAAACAGCCAAAACTGGATTGGCT